CTCAAGTAGCATCCTTAGAGCGCTGGGCTTCATCGTGGCTCCCAACGTGTGTCTCAATTGGTGGGGCTCCCTGTGCAGCAGCTACTGGAAAAGCTACGACATACGACCTAAGAACATTTTCTTTTTAAAAATCACAGTGATGGCTGTAGGACATAAGTGTATTAGCTTATTTCCCAGATTAAAAATAGCTTGTGCAATAGTTTCCTAGCCTTTTCAAGTGATTTCCAAACAGTGGTCTGTGAAAAGTGCCAGTTACTGTCAAGAAACTAGTGCTTCTTGAAGACTGAGTTCTAAAGGAGAGTGGCAAAGGGAAAGCAGTATTTTTTCAATTTAAAAGAGAGGAGCCTAATAATTAGGTTTTGGTAGCATTTTCAGATTTCTTATGATTTCAGACATTTTTATGATTTACTTGATTTTTACAATAACCCTACAAAGTAGGTGGAGGAGATGCTGTTATCCCCACTTCTCAGAAGTTGAAACTGAGGCCCCAAATGGTTATAAGAATCCCCAAGGTCACAGAACTGATGGGTGTCAGAGCCTCCTGCTTACTGGATCCTGTGGATGTTTGACAGTGGTGATGGGCCACCAGGGCACTGCTCAGATAGTTTCCTTCACAGGGAAAGGATGGAGGATGTTACTGAAATTTAAGAATGTTGCTGAAGTTTCACCCAAAATCTCCATTTTTTTGCTTTGATCGCCTCGCTTGTGGCGTTTGTTCTAGGAGAGATCAAGCACTCTGCTCAGCTGTCCAGACAAAGGTGTACTAACCTCACTTCCATGGAGCTGGCCTGACCCTTCAGGAGAGGGTGATAGGTCTCATCACACTCCTCTGTGCTCCCCCTGTCTCAGCGGTGACATGTTCTATGCCCCTGGTGAGCCGAGTGGTAGTGTTTCAAAGTGCATACCATAGTGTGCTCAGGGTCCTTAGGGAGTTTGGTGAGCAAGCCCCATGCCTGGCTCTTCACCACATACCCAGCCCTACTCTGCACTTGTGGGCATTGTGTGATTCTGTCCCCAGAGGTCTAGTTCTACACTGTGGTCCTGCTGATTTGACACTGGTCAAGTCCTTTGTCAGGTGCTTTCTGGCACATGTTCACTGGGCTTTCCTCTTTTTCTTGGCCTTTCTTAGCTGGAGATCAGTAACTCATATATTATTACCTGGATAATCTACATTTTGCATATTACTTTTTTTTTTTTTGGTGTCTGATCTTATTTATTTTGTCACTCTTAGAAAATCTCATTTTTGACTGGACTCAGAGGTAGAAACCCTCAGAGAGGACAGCCTCCATCTCTTGGCAATCTGTTCCTGGCGTTTTTCTTTGGCCTCCTTCATTCTCTTGGCCAAAAGTTTAGCATATTCTGCAACCTCTTCCTTATTTTTCTAAGTATGCTGTTTCTTCAAAGCAATACGCCGACATTTGTGTTGGAGGACACGTGGAGTAACAAGACGCTGAATCTTGAGTGCTTTGGTTCTAGGTTTCTTACCTTCTTTGTTTAGGGGCTTTCTTTTATTTTCTTTTATTTTATCTATTTTTATTGGTGTTCAATTTGCCAACATATAAAATAACAACCAGTGCTCATCCCATCAAGTGCCCCCCTCAGTGCCTGTCACCCAGTCACCCCCACCCCCCACCCACCTTCCTTTCTACCACCCCTTGTTCATTTCCCAGAGTTAGGAGTCTCTCATGTTCTGTCTCTCTTTCTGGTATTTCCCACTCATTTTTTCTCCTTTCGTTTAGGGGCTTTCTAACAACATATTGTCGGGCATCATCTTCTTTTGACAGATTAAAAAGCTTTCAGATTCTGCTGGCTCTTTTGGGCCCCAGGTGATGAGGCTCAGTAGTATCAGTGAGTCCAGGAATATCCTTCTCCCCTTTTTTCACAATAACCAAATTGAGAACACTGAGATTGGCATCCACAATGCAACTCCAAACAGATTTGCACTTCCCTGGGTCGGTAGCAGGAATGCCCCTTACTCAGCAGCAGGTGGATGCGGCCATGGGTCAAGACATCCTGCTTCATGGGGAAGCCTTGTTTGTCATTGCCACCAGTGATTCGGACCATGTAACCCCTTCCATCAGCAGCAACTTCTGAGGCCATATGCTTCTCATAAAAGGTACGTGGTTTGCGCTCATCATCCACTTCAATGAGTTTCTGGCAGCCAGTGGCTGGGAAAGAGATGTTCAGCTTCATCCTGAAGCGGCCTATCGCCTCGGAGGTGCTACGAAAAAGAGTGCATGTTACTTTAAAGACTGTTGGGAATTCTGCTTGCAGGCCTCAAAGCTCTAAGTACCATCTGCCCGCTTCTGCAATTCCAAATAAGTGTCCCACCTACCAGCAAGTTCATTCCCAAAGGAAACAGAGGAGTTTCTCTAAAAATAGGAGTATAACTGCTGTAGCTCTGCTGCCTAGGGCCTGCATACCTACAAAATGGGAGTGCTTGCCATTTGAGCCTGAGGCCAAGGTCCTCTGTAGCCATATTGATATGAAGCAGTGCCCAGAGCTCAGTAGGACTTCTATCTCTGCCTCTGAAAAATAGAGGTCATTCTAGGCAGGTGCACCAAAGCCTCAAGACAATCTTCTGTGTGGATTGCCAAGCAAGTCTACTAATGCTCCTGATGTCAAAGATGAACTCTGCAGGGTATACATTTTCAAGAAGAGGGATTTCCTGGAAAGTGCAACTGGTATACTAGAATTGTGCATCTAAGAGCAAGACCAATGTAAGCAGCCTTCCAGAGGTTCTCTAAGCAATCCCTGTGTATAGCAGTGCCATCTGGCCTGGACGGTGTTCCTCTTGTTCTCAAATGGCTGATGAGTGGCTCTTGCATGATTTTCTGGCTTGCAGTGGCTTCTGTTTGCAGAGCATCCTCTTGTACTTGCATGAGCCCCTGACCTGGCAGAGGCATACTTTGGACTAACTCTCCGCCAGCTGGGAGAAACACTTTCAAAAGTCTGAAGATAAGTTCCCATGATCTGTCTCACCAAGGCAAACTACTTTTTGGTAGATAAGATCTCCCCAGATGTTCAACAGATCTTAGAGTTCACAAGGCACAGCTGGCGATCCATCCCCCATTTTCCATCCTGGCCACTCAAATAGTCAAACCTAGGCAAGAAAGAAAGGAGCTTGTCGGTTTTCTGTTTGTAACTCTTGCTCTCCGAGAGAAGAAACTCCTCTCTTCTGTCCTGCTTTTGTTTTACTATCCTCTTAAAGAGCTATATACCTTTAAAACAAAGGCTTGAAATATTGAGGTGGGATTCTAACATAAGGGACCATCTTAAGCTGGTTCTGTCCAAGAACAACCACGCTGGGGGCAGGAGATACTGGCCATTGGGGCTACCTTTGAAGCATGGAGGCAACCTTCTTAGGGGGCCAGGCTTCTATTTGGATACAGCTAGATCACTGTCGTTTAGAGCTCCTGGGGTAAAACTGGAAAAACAGTAGTAGTCATTTAGTGTGGATTTGCTTTGTGTAAGCTCTGTACAAACACTTCATCTATTATCTCATTTAATCACAACAACCCTATGGTGTGGGTTATACGTTTATCCCCATTCCTGTCCAGATGAGTAGCATGTTTAAGGTTAAACATCTAGTGAGTGCTAGAGTGAGTGACACCTAGCAGGAGTCAAACTTGCAGTCACAGTGCTATATTGCCTCTCCAAGTCAGAAAAAGCTAAAAGTGCAGTTGATGACTCCTCTTTTTAAAGGATTCAATTCTGGTATCCTCTACTTATTGATCAGCTCAACCACTGAGTAAATGCACTGTTACACAAGCCAAAATTCTAGAGACATCAGAACCCTCATACCCAGTAGACTCTGCCAAAGAACATTGTAGTCATCCTCATAAGGAGGATTATAATTACTCAGTCATACAGATATGGCCCTCAAAGAAAAAGATTCAGAGACATAGGCAGAATGACCTGCAGGGCCTCCCAAGGGGTGTTCAAACTGAGGGCTCCAGCACCATCCTGACACTACTAGTGAGCTAGGGTGGTCCATGAAGTTTTTAAGGAGAGCCTATCAAGATCTCTCTTTGGTGATCTGGAATCGCAACAACCTGTAGTATACCAGCCATTAAGACAATGCCTGCACAATGAATGCAGGTCTAGACAGACAAGAGTCACTGCCTATCAGCCAAATGACCTGGAATACTGTCACAGAACTTGTGCCAGTCTAATGGTGGTGTCATTTTGGTCATGGTGGACTTCAGCTCCAAACTGAAACATCTCTCTTTTTATCAGCTTATTACATACAATAGACTCCATATTGGTGTCACCCCAAAATTCCTATGTTGGAATTCTGGCCTCCAATGTGATGGTATTAGGAGATGGGGCCTGTAGCAGGTGATTAGGTCATGAGGGTGGAGCCCTCATGAATGGGATTAGTGCCTTTCTGAAAAAGACCACAGAGAGCTCCCCCCTTTTGCCATTTGGGGACACAGTGAGAAGACACCTGTCTATAAACCAGAGATTGGGCCATCACCAGATGCCAGACCTACTGGCATCTTGGACTTCCCAGCTCAATTGAGAAACTTCTGTTGTTTATTTTTAATTTTTTTAAAAGATTTTATTTATTAATTTGAGAGAGCACAAGTGGAGGGAAGAACAGAGCGAGAGGCAGAAGCAGACTCCCGGCTGAGCAGGGACCCTGATGTGGGGCTTGATCTCAGTACCCTGGAATCATGAGCTGAGCTGAGGGCAGACACTTAGCCATCTGAGCCACCTAGGTGCCCCATCTGTTGTTTATAAGCCATCTTATGGTATTCTGTTATAGCAGCCTGAACTAAGGCACTGCTGCTCTATTAATATTAAATTTCCAGAGAAAAACTCTTCCCCCCCCCCCAAAAAAAAAGGCATCCCTGGGTGGCGCAGCGGTTTGGCGCCTGCCTTTGGCCCAGGGTGCGATCCTGGAGACCCGGGATCGAATCCCACGTCGGGCTCCTGGTGCATGGAGCCTGCTTCTCCCTCTGCCTGTGTCTCTGCCTCTCTCTCTCTGTGTGACTATCATAAAAAAAAAAAAAAAAAAAAGAAAAAGAAAAACTCTTCCCTCGTACATATCTTAGTTTTGGATTGTACTGTCCAACTTGCCTTCCACTCATCATTTCAAGATCAGTAACCAGCTAGAAGGCAGCACCTGGGTGTCAAGAGAAGACCCCTGGGGACCTTGCAGATAGCACTATCAGCTCACCTCACTAGTCTCTAAAGAGTTTCCCTTGACCATTCACAGTTTCATAGCAACTTAGCCCTGATATTTCCCACCCATCAAACACTCCCATCCCAACAGCCAATTAATAGCTGAAGATATCACAGGCTGCCTGAGCAGCCCTGGAAGGTGCCCTCCGGTAAGCTAATGAAAAATTTAAATGTTGACTGAGCCAGACAGCAGAGGAGACCAACCAGTGGGTGATACCCGAGGCACTCCCCAGACCCGTAGGTAAATCTGCCTTTGACAAAAGGAACCATGCTACATGGAATTCTCAAGGGTCTTATTACCTATTACCTTGGCATTCACTCTTAATTGTTCTGTTCTGGCTCTGGCTATGCCTGAATCAGCATGACCCTACCTCCTCCTTCATTATTTATGCCAACATCTGCCAACCTGAGATCAGGAGCCATCTATATATGGTGAAAAGTGACCAACTACCCTTGATACCATCTTAACTTCAATAACCAGTATAACGGAATGGGTGTGGGACAACACGGTGGTAATGAGAGATACTTCCCACTTCAGGGATGCTCCAATTGCCTTTGTCCTTTAAATGGGCTGGAGCATCAATGACGGAGCCCTGGCTGGCCCACAAAACTAAATTGCAAACCCTAATCTGTTAGATATTCTAGGAGAGGACCCAGAAATTTCCTTCAATTCTCAGGCTATCGATTGCTGCCTCCTCAGTGCTTTCTTTCCTCTCTCTGGCCCTGGCAGATTTCGGTACCGGCTCTTGGCTTACTTGGATTTTACAGCCTTTTGGATTCCATATTTTGTATTTCAGCACATCTGTGTAGTTCAAAGCTTTGCCTGCTCCTTTAGCTTCAGAGTCTCCATTGCCTCCAGCCAAGACTTCTCAACCTATGGCTTTCAGCACTGCCACTCCCCCACAACCATGTATGGTCCTTGAGAGTAGGGAGGAAAACTTCTTTTGAGATATGGAAATGTTTTCAGAAATGGATGAAATAGCCTTTTGAAACAAAACTCAAAGTTATCATCTCAGTACACAGTAACCATATAAGCTGATTTAAAAAAAATTTATTTATGAGAGACACACAGAGAGAGACAGAGACATAGGCAGAGGGAGAAGCAGGCTCCCTATGGGGAGCTTGATGCGGGACTTGATCCCAGGACCCTGGGATCATGCCCTGAGCCAAAGACAAGTGCTCAACCACTTGAGGACCCAGGTGCCTGCCCTAAGCTAATTGTTAACATAATAAATGAATTGGGCATGATTGTATGAATATGTAGGTTTTGAAATAATCTAACAGTTCTGCATAATCTTGGGAAGATGCACTGCTTGGCTAACACCCTAGGGTTTGCAGGCTTGGGCTAGAATGTGTGGTTTCCCCAGCTTTGGATGGAGGTGAGGAAGAGGCTTAGAGACATATGACAGACACGGCCCTAGGATGGCATCATATAATACTACTATATTATCACGTACTGCTAGAGAATTTTTGGTCTTTTGTTGTTGGAGAACAGGAGGATTGGCAGAGAGGGCAGGAATATGGAAGTGATCCAGAGGGAACAGGAAAGGTTAAGCATCCTTGATCTGGGCCTTGTTTCTGTTACTTAAACATAGTGGCCAACCAGCCTGTCCCTAACAGACAAAATGCTATAAAAGTGTCCAGGTCCATTCCTAGGAGCTCAGAATACATTTTCTCTCTGAAATAATGCTCCATAGGGATTTATGGACTAACATTCATAAACAAAAACCCTTTACAGGTGTGTTTATAGAAAATGCTTAAAGTTCTCATTTAGGGATAGCAGGAACACATCTCCAATATAAAATAATATCTTTGAATAACATAAAGAGTAAAAAGGCAGTTTGTAGGACAGAGCAACCACTAAATAGTTGCCACCATTTCTTTCTGTACTGGCAATATGGAAATTCCCTTTATAAGTAGCATTTTAGTAATATACATGATGTTAGTAGTATTTTTATAATGTTAGTAAGATTTTATAATATTGATTTTTTAAGTCTATAGAGGATTTGCTATATACCTCAAGAGGCTTTCTTATTTACTTGGCTAATTTTTTTTCTGTAGATACATATTTCTAATTGTGTAAGAGAAGTTAATGGAAAAGTAAGACAATATATTTATATTAAAGAATATCTGTACTGGAAAAGAATACTCCAGGGCACTTATAGATCACATAATGTCACCACTGTTTGAGAAATAAGCAAGCTGGTTAATACTGTACTGAGAATATGTCAGCCCCATGTTTCCAGTGATGCTCCTTCAGATTTTAGGCAACATGTATCAGGTAAATGTTTTTGTCTTTTATTTCTCCGTTTTAAAAAGGAGTCTCCATAAAAAGAATCCCTTTTAAATTCTTTTAATTAGATGTGAATTTTTATATTCAGCCCAAGTACATCTTATTTTCTTTCATCCGCTCAGGAACATTTAAGTGCCTCTGTGGTGCCAATATGTGGGTTAGATGTGGAGACCATAGGGTGGTACACACAAGGTTGAGTGGTGGAGGTGGTGGTGGTGGGGCAAGTGACCAAGAGTTTGTAGTACAGCTGGAGAGGAGTAAGCATCTTAACTACAGGATGACAGTGAAGTGTGATGAGCACAGTAAAAGGGACATGTAGAAAGGGCCACAGGAGCAGGAAAGACCTTGCCAAAGGGGCCAGAGGGTGTACAGTAAAAAAAAAAAAAAAAAAAAAAAGACATTTGAACTATATCTTTGGAAGTCAAAATTTAGCCATATAGAGACACAAAATTATTTCCAAAGTAGAACGTCGGCTAACGCTCTTCCCATATTACTCTGATTAAAATGGTCCACCTAAACTTGTTATATGGCTCCTCTGTCATTACATCATCCCACTGCCTCCTCCCATAGCTGGCTGGGCTGTGACTGCCTTTCCAGGGCATTCCATGTGGCAACCAAAGGAAGTGCAGGAAGTGGGGACAGAGCCTCCCTCAGAGATGGGGCTGTTCCCTGGCAGCACCCCCACCCCTACCCCCATCACATTACCCCGGGCTCCTCCTAGAGCATGGGAGAGTCTTTCGTTTTAGGATTTGGTGGCTCGACGGGTTTGGCAGGACTGGGAAAGGGGAGACTTCCTTGGGTTCTATTGCCAGGAGAGGACAGGAAATTCAGCAGGTCAAACGGCAAAGGCAAAACCACCGTGGAAGGTCTGTCTGTGGACAGGGACTGGAGGGTGTGCAGGTACCGCAGCTGGACCGCGGCCGGGGTGGCTGCCAGAATCTCGGCCGCCCTTCTCAGGGCCTCGGACGCGGCCTTCTCCCCTTCCGCAGCGATCACCTGGAGAGCAGACAGGAAGACAGGTGAAGTGACTTTTCCTCTTGCTTGTCCCGGCTGTTCAGCACCGAGCGGCTGCCTTCTTTCTCAGGGGCCTTGATCTGGGGGAGGTGGATTTCACTGTTCGTTGTGACTTAGGGCGGAATTTGTCAAGGGCCCCGACAAGCGCAGTGACATGTCACGGGAGTTATTGATTATATATGCTGGGCCTTGACAGATTAGTAGGGTTTGCCATATTGAGAAAAAGTTGGCCAGCATTCTAGGCGAGGATGTGGAAGCCTGAAGTGAGGAGACGCCTAACCAGGGCAAAAGGAACGAGGGAACATTTCAGAGGAAAAAGCACTAAGCTCACGGCCCAACTGCCACCTTCAAGTGGACAAAGACTAAACTCAGATCTAGAAGCAACTCTGCCCAGAGGACCACTTTCTTCCCCTTCCTCCTCTCAACACAGCAGGGTTAGTGAGCTCTTCTGCGAGCTGCTTCCTGTTCTTGAAGAGAAACATGTCTCCCTTCCAGTCCTCCTATTCCTTTTCCCAACACCTCTCCCACCCCACCTCGATCCTCAGGAGCTGCGGGCAGCCACATCTGTGCGGCCCACCGGCACGTCTGACTAGGGGCTGTGAGTGGCACGAGCTTCTCTGGGTCCTGAGGGAACCAGGCCTCATCAGGTCAGCTCCCCACAGCTTGCACAGAGCTAGGGATGCAGGTCTGGTGTCATTAACTTGCTAACACAGAGGAGATAGGTGACTGATGTTACCTTGGGAAAGATGCCAGCACGAGAGCAGAAGGATGGAGGGTGAGGAGAGATGCCTTGAGGGAGAGAGAGTAAAGGCCAGACCCAGGAAGAAGGAGGAGGTCACTAGTCCCAGTAGCTTCGGAGAGAGGGTGTCCCAGCAAAGGCCATGTGGCATTAGTTGGGTGGCTATGAACACACTTTAAGAGAAAACTTTTAACAGAGTGGGGAGGGGGGCACAAGCCAGGTTCTTCCCAGCTCCTGGGTGAGTGGGAGGTGAGAAGCAGAGGGGCAATGCTCTGCTAGAGCAGGCCATGGAGCATGGGGGTGGGAGGCGGGCCCGCCTGATGCTGGCTCACCCGCACTTTGGCCTGTCTCTGTGCTTCGGCTTCCACAGCCAGTGAGTGCTGAAGCCCTGCCGGCAGCCTTACATCCTTACTAGAAAAGAAAGAGTTGTTATTTCAGGAGGAACAGCAAATCCTGATCTAACAGGGTGCGCTGTCCCTAGACCTCTGAGCAGATGGTGGCCAGGGAAGGGCAGCTCAAGAGTAAGTGCCTCAAATGCACACTATCATTATCACTGATGTCACAGTAGAGCTCTGGTTTGCTCCGTACAAGAGGAACACATTTTTTTGTTGTTGTTAATGGATTATTATGATTTTTCCCATTTAAGTTTTAATATTTTTTAAAAGATTTATCTATTTATTTATGAGAGAGAGAGAGAGAGAGAGAGAGAGAGAGAGAGAGAGGCAGAGACACAGGAGGAGGATAAGCAGACTCCATGCCGGGAGCCCGACGTGGGACTCGATCCCGGGACTCCAGGATCACGCCCTGGGCCAAAGGCAGGCACCAAAACGCTGAGCTACCCAGGGATCCCCATTTAAGGTTTAATCTAAATCCCAGCTATTAAATTTGAACAATGAAAAACAGCCTTGAAGAGCCATACTATTAAGAACAAGGGATGTCATCGACGTTTATAAAGAAATTGATTTTGAAAAGAGTAGAACTGACCAAGGAAGAGCAATATTTAATGTATTATGTAGAAGATACAAAATTGTATTTTTATCCTGTATATAAATATGAAAATGACATAGCTAGAAAACAATTTGGCAGTTCCATGGGAAGTTAAACATAGAGTTACCATATGAGTCAGTAATTCTACTGCTAGGGATATTAGAAAACATGTTCATACAAAAACTTGCACTTGGATGGTCACCACGGTATTATTCAGAATAGCCCTAAAGTGGAAACAAGCCAAATGTCCATCAGCAAATGAGCAGGTAAACCAGGTGTGTTGTATCCACATTGGGATATTATTTGACTATCAAAAGGAATGATGTTGATTCAGGTTTAACCATGGATGAACCTTGAAAACAACATGTGCAACGAAAGAAGCCAAACACAAAAGGCCATAAAATATTGACTGTATTTGTAATGAAATGCCCAGGCTAGCCTAGTGCAGAGAGATTAGTGTTGTCAGGCTAGGGGGTAAGGGAGCAACGAGGAGTCCCTGCTTGATGGGTGTGGGCTGTCATTTTGAGTGATAAAAAAGTTCTGGAATTAGTAGTGATGGTTACACTCCTCTATGAATATAATAAAAACAGTTATACTTTAAAATGGTTATAATGATGAGTTTTTATGTTATGTGAATTTCATCTCAGAAGAATTTTTTTCAATCCATGGAGAGAAAATTTTGAAAGTGATCTGCCTAAACATTACAGTGGCTGTGTTATGGCTATGTGTACTAGGTAATTTTCTTTGTTCAAATTTATGCCAATGTGGCTACAGTACTCAGCTCATTGAAAATATTTTTTAGGGCAGCCCAGGTGGCTCAGTGGTTTAGCGCTGCCTTCCGCCCAGGGTGTGATCCTGGAGACCTGGGATCGAGTCCCATGTCGGGCTCCCTGCATGGAGCCTGCTTCTCCCTCTGTCTGTGTCTCTGCCTCTCTCTCTCTCTCTCTCTCTCTCTCTCTCTCTCTCTGTCTCTGTCTCTCTGTCTCATGGATAAATAAAATCTTTAAAAAAACTTTTAAAAATTATTTTAAAATAAAACCAAAATATTTCCCTTTATCATATTGTTCTTCTTGCTTAATTTACTACCCACATTTCTGTTCTCTCCACTTTGATTCCCCAAATACAGGTCACTGAATCCAAGGCAACCTGTGGAGAGAGGAGGTGAGATGTCAGGGAGAACTTTCAGGTGAGAGCAGGGCCCCCCTATGCCCTCATGGCCATTGTTCTGTACTGAGAAAGTACATTTCCTCTGAAGAGGCATTCCTTTCCTGTTTTGTTTTAACATTACAGTGCCTTGCAAAAAGTTGCTTAACTTTGGGGCACCTGGGTGGCTCAGCTGGTCAAATATCTGACTCTCAATTTCGGCTCAGGTCATGATTTCAGGGTTGTGAGATCAAGCCCCAAGTTGGGCTCCATGCTGAGTGTAGAATCTGCTTAAGATTCTCTCTCTATCTCTCTCTCTCTCTCCCCCCTCTACATCTCCTCTCGCTTGTGTGCTCTTTCTCTCTCTCAAAAAAAAGTTGCTTAACTTTGCATAGTGCCACTCAAGAAATACTTGTGGAGTTAAGGGTGGTGTGGTAGGCTGAATCATGGCTCCCCAGACATCCATGTCTTCATCTCTGGAACCTGTGAATGTTCCCCAGAAGAGACCTTGCAGATGGAATTAAGTGAAAGGATCTTAAAAATGGGGAGATGATCTAGGATCTTCCCACTGGGACCCAAATGCAGTCATAAGTGTCCTTTTAAGAGGGAATAGAGGGAGATGTGACTACAGAAGAGGAGGAGAAGGTGATGTGATTCTGGGGGCAGAGTTTGGAGGGATGCACTGTGATGGAGGAAGGGGCCACGAGCTCAGGAAACAGGCAGCCACTAGAAGCTGGGAAAGGCAAGGAAATGAATGCTCTTCTCGGAACCTCCAGAAGGAAGCAGTTCTGCTGACTGACACCTTGACTTTGGCCCACTGAAACTGTTTTTCGACTTCTGGCCTTCAAAACTGTATGAGATTCAATTGCTACCATTTTAAGTCACCAAGTTTGTGGTAATTTGTTACAGAAGCAATGGGAAACCAATACAGATGGTGCACTTGTTAAATCTGTTTTAAGATGCACTTATTAGAGAACCAGAGTCTAGTCTCTCCCAAATGGCTTTCATTTAGAGGTGCTTCCTTCCTGCTGGTGGCATCCAGAGAACATTATCTGACTGGTGACAAGCCTTGTGCTGGTGCTGAGAACAAAGAGATGCAGAAAGTATGATCCCTGTCATTATGGAGTCCATAATTTACAAAGACAAATATGTACATACATAAATTATAATTCAGTGCAACAAAGGCGATTTTGTGTGTCCAGAGTCCACAACTTGTCCTTTATCCTTTAGAGGGGAGGGATGAACAGAAGAGAGGTTAAGGTGGCCGAGGGGGAGCCCGCTGGAGTGGTTTTTAAATTCCAGAGCAGCAACTGCCTGTATCCCTCTTGTTCTAACTTTTTTTTTGTCTTTTTAGGTTCTTTTGTTTTCTGAATTCTTGCCTTTTCCACCAAGTTGCTAATCTCAGTCACAGATGTTTAGGTACTTCACCTTCTAAGATGAATGATTGCTCAGGCCCCATCAGGCACAACCAGTACCAATACCTTTGATCCTCCAGCCCTTCTGTTGGAGGTCCTGCTTTCGTTAAGACAACATTCCTACCTTCCTAATTCTGGGCCAGGGTGCCTATGGCCTCCGCGACAGGGTCCCTCATTGGTGGTGATGGCCATTTGACCAGCCAGCTGCCAGGAAGCCAGCTTTGTTCTCACATCTCAGTATCTTTGCCAAGTTGCCTTGGTAAGAATGGAAGATGCCCACGGTGGCCATGAGTGAGGTGACTGAAGTTGCTGCCTGCCGGCTGGCTGACACTACATGAGGCACTTCCTCCTCAATTCCTTTCCTAATTTCCCATGAATTAAATCTCAGTGACTGGGAGATAATCATGTAAGGGTCTGTGACATTTTCTTTTTACCTGAAAGTCTTATTTGAACTTACCATGTAGCTTGGACTGTTTCCCCAACTAGACTGTAGGCTCCCGGGAGCCATTCCTTCTCACCTCTGTCTGACCCCCACCTGTCCTGTCTGGCCCCGCCCTCCCCACCAGCTCTCGCTCCCACCGCTTTGTGCCATGTGGGCACTTTCCAATGAGTCTAGAGCCTCTGGGGTAGGATTGAGGGCAAAACCTGTGGCAATGACTGACTAGTCATCACCAGATTGACTCACGGTCAACCTGACAACCTCTCAGTCAGCTGCCAGCTCCTTGAAGGATGGTACCCTCACCAGTGAATGCCTGCCAGATGCTTCCATGGCATGCGCTTCAATAAATGGCCGATGAAGAAATGAATAAAAGATGAGGAGGTATTTCAACCTATTTGATGTTAAGTTTATCTGAGTACCTTTAGATCTTGGGCAATGCTCTTCCTCTCTAGAAGAATTTCAGTGAGGGATCGATGTGCTAGGAGACGCTTCATGGTGGTCTGCATAAGAAATTGGATGGCTTTGGACACATGAGCAAGACTGCTTAGGAGAAGAGTGGCATTTTCCATTCGGTAGTAGCAGATGGCATCTATCTCCATGATAAACATGTCTTTGGTCACAACCTAGATAGAAAAAAGAGTTTGGATAACAGGCCTTATTTTAGGACTCCCTTCCCAGGTGTGAATAGTGAAGCTAAATGTGTTTAAGGGATGGAACACCTGGGTGGCTCAGTTGGTTAGGCATCTGCCTTCGGCTCAGGTCATGATCCCAGGGTTCTGGGAGCCATCAGGCTTCCCATGGGAGCAGGCTTTTCCCTCTTACTCTGCCTGCCAATCACTCTGCTTGGGCTCACTCTGTTTCTGTGTCTGTCAAATAAATAAATAAAAATCTTAAAAAAAAATAAATGTGTTCAAGGGAAATTTTCTCAGTAAGATTATAGGGGGGGAAAAGAGTTTTGGCCCACCATTTTATTTGAAATAGATGTGTTTTTGAAGATTATGGAGTTTTTTTTATTAAATACACTAAAGAACTCACAATTGAAAGGAATCCTGTTGTAAGTAGTTTTGTAAAAATATCAGGAATAGGGGCAGCCCTGGTGGCGCAGCGGTTTAGCGCCGCCTGCAGCCCAGGGTGTGATCCTGGAGACCGGGGATCAAGTCCCACATCAGGCTTCCTGCATGGAGCCTGCTTGTGTCTCTGCCTCTCTCTCACTCTCTCTGAATGAATAAATAAATAAATCTTTAGGAAAAAAAATATCAGGAGGAATTTCCTTAGATGAAAACATTCAGTTAATTGTATATCAGTTCCTTTTAACCCGATGCCAAAAAAAAAAAGTGCTAAAGGACAAGCATCTTCTGGGAAATAAGCACTCTGATATGTTGCTTTCTGAGTGTACACCAGAGGGCAGACTGGTGCTAACACGTCAAGAACCTAAAAGCTGCTTAGTCTCAACATTTCCATTTTTAGACACTTATCACAAGGACCTATTTTGAGGGTTTAGCTGCAAGGATGTCATTCACAGTGTTGGTTATTATGATAAAAAATAAGAAATAAATTAATATTCACAATAGGGAATTGTGTATTGTTGTATAACCATACAATGATATACTATGTGTCCATTTAAAACAAAGGGGCAGCGGGGAGCCTGGGTGACTCAGTTGGTTAAGCGTCTGTCTTTGGCTCAGGTTATGGATCCCAAGGTCCTAGGATCAAGCCCTACATCAGGCTCCTTGCTCAGCAGGGAGTCAGCTTCTCCCTTTGCCCCTCCCCTTGCTCATGCTTGCTCACATGCTCTCTCTCTCTCTCTGAAATTAAAAAAAAAAAAGGGGGGGGTAGAGGGGTGCCTGGCTGGCTCAGTTGGAAGAGCGTGCTACTCTTGATCTCACGGTTGTGAGTTCAAGCCCCATATTGGGTGTAGAGATTACTTAAAAATAAAATCTTGAAAAAAATAAAACAAAGGAGTAGAAACATAGCTAATACATGAAAATGTGATCACAACAGAGTATTGAGTGAAAAAAGGTATGTTATGAAATGGTATGATATGTATACCTGTCTGTAAATATAACCACACACATAGAAAAATTTGAAAGGATACACTCCAAAGTATCAACATCTGTCTATGGAAAATAAGATGAGGGGAAACTTTTATTTCTTCTCTTCATATATTTTGTTACCTAAAATAAGCCTTTTAAAAAATATATATAATTTCTATTTAAAATTTCTATCTACCAAAAGAAAGAATAAGAAAGAATTTCAAACTGGAAGTGGGAGACAATTTAGGAAAGGCTTATACATTTAAATTACTAATACAAAAATCTAGATGTTGTCTCTACTTTTAATTTTTAATTGTGGCAAAATACACTTTTTTGGCAAAATACACTTAACATCAAATTTATCTTTTTAACTATTTTTAAGTGTACAATTCAGTAGTTATCCACTGTACGTTATACAGTCACATTGTTGTACAATCTCCAGAACTCTCATCTTTCAGAACTGAAAGCCATTAAACAACTGCTCTCCACTTTTTCCCCCAACCTCTGCAACCACCATTCCACTTTCTGTCTCCGTGAATTAGACGACTCTGGGTACCTCATCCAAGTGGAATCATAGAGTATTTGTCTTTTTGTGATGGCTTAATTCACTTAGCATGATGTTTTCAAGGTTCATCCTGAGTAGCATTTGTCAGAATGTCCTTCCTTTTTAGGGCTGAATAATATTCCCTTGTATGTACCACATTTTCTATCCACTCAGTCATCGATGGACACTTGGGTTATTTTTACTTTTTGGCTACCGTGAATACTGCTGCCATGAACACAGGTATACAAATATCTCTTCAAAACCTTGGTTTCAATTCTCTGGGGCATATACCCTGAAGTGAAATTGCTGGAGCCAATGGTAATTCCAATTTTGATTTTCTGAGGAACTGCTGCGCTGTTACCCATAGCAGCTGTACCATTTTACATTCCCACCAATATTGCACAACACAATTTCTCGACATCTCTGCCAACCCTTGTTATTTTGTTGGTGTGGTTTATTTTTTTTTATAGTAGCCATCCTACCAGGTGTGAAGTGGTATCTCATTGTGGTTTTGATTTACCTTTCTCTACTAATTAGTGATGTTGAGCATTTGTTCATGTGTTTGTTGGCCATTTGCATATATTCTTTGGAGAAAAGTCTATTCAAGTCTATTAGGACTCTCCAGAGAAATAAAATCTTTAGGATGTGGGTGTGCATGTGTGTGTGTGTGTGGGTGGGTGGGTGGGTGTGTGTGTGTGGAGAGAGAGAGAGAGAGAGAGAGAGAGAGAGAGAGAGAGAGAGAGAGAGAAATTTTAAATTGGCTCATATAATTGTAGAAATCAACAAGTCCAAAACCTTCAGGGAATGTCAACAAGCTGAAGACGCAAGAAAGAGTTGATGTTGCAGCTCGAGTCTGAGAGCAGTCTGCTGATAGAATTCCCTCTTCTATTAGTCTTTTTCTTAAGGCCCTCAACTCATTGGATAAGGCCCACCCACATTATGGAATCTAATCTACTCAAAGTCTACTGATTTAAGTATTAATCTTACCTAAAAAATACCTTCACAGCAACATTCAGATGTGTCTGATCAAATATCTGCGTACCATAGCTTAGCCAAGCTGACACATAAAATTAACCATCACAAAATCCTTTGCCAATATTTAAGGGAGTTGTTTGCTTTCTTTTTGAGTTGTAAGGTTTCTTTATATATTCTGGGTATTAACCCCTTATCAGGTATATTATTTGCAAATATTTTCCTCCATTCCATAGGTTACCTGTTCACTCTTTTGATCATGTCCTTTGATACACAGGAGTTTTTAATTTTGAGACAGTCCATATTTCTATTTTCCTTTCCTGCTTTTGAGCTTAGTCATTTTGCCTTGGACCAGAATTGGTAGCTCAGCCATATGAAATAAAGAAAAAAAGCAAAGCCCATCATTTGGCTTACCTCATGAAAGGGTATCTCCAAAGTTTGGAGACGAAGGTCAACCTTGTGGTAGGTATCAAGGCAGGGAAAAAAGAAAAAAAGGCCTAGAAGAGGGGGTAGAGAGATTGACAGGTGAATGGTTAGCATGGAGATTGCTTGGGGTTCACCTCTTCAGGGTCAGGGCACATATTTTATTGCTTTCCTTAGCTTCCAACTACACACAGACATACTGGGCAATCCCACTTCTACCCCTAGCGTGTTTGCAGTTGCTAAAGTAACATATACTTTTTTGTTTAATCTAGGACACTTCTGAGGGTGAAAGGAGAACATTGTTACAACTTACTCCAGGACAAAAGTGTAGACAGGGATTAACCCCAGCAAAATGGGCTACATGGTCACCTTGTCATGGTGCTGGCCCCTCCAAATCTTGAGTGATATGCCTGTTTTCTTCACTAGATTTAATTCTCTAACAAGAATGTCTTATGCATTATTGTTAGTTTTAGTGCTTGACTTTCAGGTACTCTGTAAAATTATTTTTGAATCTGTGTATGTAACAACCATGACAAACTTCAGAGCCAGCAACTTCTATGTGGTACTTCTTAAAATGTGAGCCCCACAGGTATCACAATAGCAATATCATGCTACCAGCCTCATGCACCTAATGTAACGTATAGGGTCAATGTGCAATAAATATTTTTGGATTGATTTATTGAGGTTTGCTGAGAGCCACTGGACAGTGTGGGCTCCTACAAGAGCCAAAGCCTTACTGGAACCGGCAGCACCTCACTGTGCCCGGGACCTTTCTGAGGAGCAGCCCAGCAACTAGCCCTTTGTAGGCCCAAAAAAGGAGGATGCTAAAAACTAGAACCAGAACCAGATGCTCCCTGTCCTAGACTACACAGTCTGCTTCTACTTTTGTATGGACCCATCTGCTTGTTCTGAATTGTCAAACTCAGATTTGCATCTTCTAGTCTAGTCTCCATTCTCTATTTGTTTCTGTAGACCTGGCTTGGAACTTGGACCTTTCCAATAGTGTGCATGGTGGGACTTTGCTCCTTCCCATGCCTTTCTGGTTAGCTTGGATCCCCAACCCCAACTACTACACTTTATAGACTAACCATACTTCCATCTGTGCTTGGACCTCTGGACATCAACTCCACTTGACTACATGGTCCTACAGATCAGAAACCATGTCTCATTTATCCATCTTCATATCCCTGGCAGTTATATGTATTTAAAACACAGTATGTGTTTACAGCAGTATATGTTTTCTAAATTCCATGAACCAAAGGCCAATTTGTCACTCGGGTGCTGGACTTTGCCAATCTCCCATGGTTCGGTCTGATCCTCTGGATTCTGAACTAGCCAGCTTTGCTCTGAGAATTCATAGCACTCTAACCAAAACATATTCTGCTCAAACTAGTGCCCAGCCATGGGTCCTAAGCCTACTTTCTACTCCAGCCAGCCTGGCCCAGGCATTTGACTCTCTGCACCCATCCTCTCTCTTGGCCACTGTGACCTGGGAATAATGCTCTCAGAAGAATCTTTCGTAAGTTGTATTACAAGTAACAGATTAGAAAATGCAGATATTGTAAATCAGATATGAATTATACTTCATATAATCTGAGGTCCATATTACAAATACGCATGGATTGAAGAAATTGGCAAGTCTATTGGGGGGTAAAAGCGTGTTTCATACCAGGACCTTTAGCTCTTCCGGGAAGCAGATGTCCCAGTCGAAATATTATTACTCTCTCATACTCCCGTACAACCTAAAGGAAAAAATTATACTTTTGAAACACTCCAAGAAAGAAAAATAAAGTCTTCAAAAGGCTGTGACACATAAAAATGATTTAGTTTAAAAACTTTAGTTTCAAGAACCAAGAAAAAATTTATATTAATATTTGGATTTCCAAAATCTATACTTAGTAAGTGCAGAACATCAGAAATCAGTGAAAGCATATTGGCCATCCTCATTTTTAAGCCCATGAACAGAATTTCGATTAAAGAGTCATGATTACCTAAAAAATAATGCTTCTACTATGCCCACATATCTAAATCAAGAAAATCACAGCATGTGTAATCTCATATTTTGCTGTGACTTTGGAATTATTAGATTTTATATGTATCATGTATTAACTATTTAGTAGGAAGAGTATATTTTAATACCTTTTGTAATATTTGTTTCAAACTGCAATTTCTGGGACACCTGGGTGGCTCAGCAGTTGAGTGTCTGCCTTCAGCTCAGGGCATGATCCCGGGATCTGGGACTGAGGCCCACATCAGGCTCCTTACAGGGAGCCTACTTTTCCCTCTGTCTATGTCTCTGCCTCTCTCTGTGTGTCTCTCATGAATAAATAAATAAAATCTTTTTTAAAAAAATGAATGATAATGAATGCCTAGATTTGGTTTCTAGAATAGGCCCAGGCACCTCCAATTTCTTGGTTCTCTGGCAGTACTTATTTCTTTTTTGCTTTTATTGGAAGAAACAAAATCTTCCTAGAGATGCAGAGGAGCCTGACTCCTTTGATATCTTGCTCAAATGTTGCACATCATTCTGCTTTAGTATCCTCTACTTGATTGACTTCTAGGGTTTGCCATCTTTTTTCCCCCTAATGATTTATTTAATTATTTGAGAGAGAGAGAGAGAGAGAGAGAGAGAGAAGAGAGAGAGAGCACAGGTGGACAGGCAGAGGGAGACGGAGAGAGAGAATCTTGAGGCAGGCTCCCTGCTGAGTGCAGAGCCTGATGTGGGGCTCGGTTCCAGGATCCTGAGATCGTGACCTGAGCCGAAATCAAAAGTCAGATGCTTAACTGACTAAGCCACCCAGGTGCCCCCGACAAAATGGAATTTTAAAAAAAACACGCAAAAATGTGCTGGTGATAAAGAGGGACAGTATAACAATAAAAGGGTCAATGCATTAGGAAAGTAAAACAATGATGAACATATATGTACCTAAAAATAGAGATCTAAAATACAAGAAGCAAAAACCAAAAGAACTGAAAGGATAAACAGACAATTCAAGCAACAGTAATAGTTGGAGAATTTAATATTCCACTTTCAATCATGGAGAGAACAACTAGTCAACAAGGAAATAAGACTTGAACAACACTATACCCAAACAACATCACCAAAATACACTTTCTTCTCAAGGACACATAAAACATCTCTAGGATAGATCAAATGCTAGCCATAAAACAAACCTCAATAAATTTAAAACTATTGAAATTACATAAAGTATATTATCTGATGAGAATAGAATGAAATTAGAAATCATTAACAAGGAAATTTGGGGAATTCACAAATATATAGAAACTGAACAACACACTCTAAAATGACCAATGGATCATAGAAGAAATCAAAAGAGAATTTAGAAAATATTTTGAACTGAATGAAAACAAAAACAGACACCAAAACATATGGGATGCAACTAAAGCAGTGCTCAGAGGAAAATTTATAGCTATAGATGTCTATGATAAAAAAGAAGAAATATCTCAAATAAAACCGTGTCTACCTTAAGACTCTGGAAACAGAAGAGCAAACTAAACAAAACAAGCAGAAAGAAGAAAATAAGGAAGATTAGAGTGGAAATAAATGCAATAGAAAACAGAAAAACAATAGAGAAAATCAACCAAAAGTCGGTTCTTTGAAGAGATCAACAAAATTGACAAATGTTTAGCTAAATGGACCAAGAAAAAAAAAAAAAGAAGACTCAAATTTCCAAAATCAGGAATGAAAAAGCAATGGCAGGAACATCACTACTGTCCTTACAGAAATAACAAAAAAAAAAAAAAGATTATAAAAGAAAATACTATAAACAACTATATGCCTCAAATTAGATATAACTTAGGTAAAATGGGCAAATCTTAGCATAGATGCAACTACCAATACTGACTTCAGAAAACAAACTGAAAAGACCCAAAAGTAAAGACTAAATTAGTAGTTTTGAAACTTCCCATAGAGAAAAGTTCAGGACCAGAAACCAGATGGTTTCACTGGTGAATTGTGCCAAACATTTAACAAGGAAGTAATGCCAGTTCTTCATAAATTCTCCCCCAAAACAGAAATATCTCCAACTCCTTCTGTGAGGCCAGTATTATCCTGATACCAAAACAAGAGAGAGACATCATGAGAAAACACTGATCAATCTCTTTTATGAATATAGATGTAAACCCCTCAACAAATTACCAGCAGCCTGAATCTGGTAACCTATAAAGAGGATTAGAGACCCTACCAACCAAGTGGGATTTATACTAGGAATACACAGTTGGTTTAAAATCCAAGGTTGAATGAATATAACATGTTATCTCAATAGAATAAAGGGCAAATCATCTCAATGGATGCAGAAAAGGTGCTGGATAAAATTCAACACCCTTTCCTGAAGAATGAGGAGGGGGAGGAGAGGGAAGGGAAGGCAGGAGGAGGAAGAGAGGGGCCTGCATGAAGAGCACAATCATAGATGGCTCCAGCAGCAACTGTAGGGTTTCAGCCAAGGACATGCTCTTCCGTGGCAGCTCCAGCCAATGATAACAATGGCAGGGGTACTTGGGCCTGGCCATTTCTGCCCATCACAAAAATTCCTCTTTAAGTGGATTCTGATCTGGAGTTCCCTTTCAGGCTGGACGGTGTTGCTGTGGAGCTACCCCACAGTCTGAGGCTCTTTCTGTTCAATCCTACCTTCACTTCTGATAACACAGGTGTCAGAGCTGCATCACTCTGAAGGCTTTCTCTGCCTGTTATTCTCTCTCTGCTTAATCGCTCACAGGCCATGCCTCCCAATAAATCCCTTGCATTTCTAATTCCGCTTGGCATGTGCTTCCTGAACAGACATGGTCTTCATTTGCTTCAAGGACACGTGTGGGTTACCACCCATGGGCCAAAGAGAATCATCATTCATGGTATAGAAGCTGCCAGAGATGTTTCCGGAAGGGCCAGAGTAGACAGCATCATCTGTTCTGGACTGATCTCTGTGGTGCAGAATGCAGATGACTGAGACAGAGGCCCTGAGCTGAGGGCCGTCAGTCTAATGGGAGAGGCAGGTGTTGGCAAATAGTATACACACACGGTAAGTGCTAGAATGGATGTGAAAGCAGAGACACACAAGAACACAAGGAAGGAAATGATAGTCTGGGGGAGTCAAGGAAGGCTTCAGAGTTATGTGTGTGCAAGGTCAGAAAGGAGTAAGAGCTCTCCTGGCAGATGAGTGGGGGCGAGGCCATTCCATGCAGAACAGACAGCCGGTAACAAACACAGAAGACTGGACCTGAGGTCAGTGAGAGGCACCAGGACATTCTTTATTGGGTTGTCCTGGAATCTTACCTTTATGCAGAACCAAATGGAAACAGGGAAGGTCACAATAATGAAGAGCAGGGATGTGAGGACAAGAAGCCACTCACAGGCCCCTAAACCTGAAGACTTGGTACCTGAAAATAAATAAATAAACAAAAGAATAATACATATAATTAATTGTATTGGAACATATTCACCATATTTACTGACCAGGACTTCTTGGTCTAGTTCTTGATAGCAGGGTCAGAGCAGTATGTAGACTTTGTTGGAAATTCAGAGTGAGTTGGATATCAGTGGTCAGTTCACATGATAGGACATTGTCTGTGAGGGGTTCTGTGGGCCTGTGGAAGGTAGAACAGGCTTCTGGAAAGGCAGTAGTGGGGAACCTGTAATAAGCACGGACTCTGGGCAGAAGGTCTGGGTTCGAGTTCTGACTCCACCATTTTCTGTCAAATGACCTTAGGCAAAGCACATGACCTCTTCAAACCTGTCTCATCTACAATGGGGATGCTAACTATCTCATAATAACTATCGCGCAGCTCTCTCATGAGGTATTTTTCCTAGCGTTGATATAAATATGAAGTGATGTCTATACATAAAAATCAGTGAAGTGTGCTTATCATGTATCAGGTGTTGAATTTGAAGTGATTCAAACCACATGTGTGCAGAGGCTCATCTTCCCTGAAATGACTTCCCCATCTACTTCCTGCCCCAAATGTTTGAAATTCCACTATTTAGAGTCTCTTCTTTGGATTAGGGTGTGGATCTCCAGAGAGTCTTTGAAAAATCATCTCTATGGGGTAATATTAGCGGAGTAGTGTCCGTAAATAAAAGTAATGAGGAACTGGACTGCAGAACATCCAGGTTGCTTGAGTGATAAATGAAAATGTTTCAGGGAAAGTTCATCTCAAGAACACAAGCCTCTTGGGTTATTTATGTTGCATCCCTGAGGCCTAGAACAGTGCCTGACAAAATATAGGTGCTCGATAAATATTTGTTGAATTGTAAGAATGAAGGAGAAGTGGATAGAGAAAATTATTCAAATGTAATAGTTATGGAAACCTCAAGAATTGTAATCTCCAGGTACTGGGAAACTGGCCAAAAGGACACTATTTGTGAGTTTAAAAACATCGTAGAGGACTAGAAGTCGACTAAAGATTATGATGGTGAAAAGCCTATTTTTAAGGGATGGGAAAAAAAGAGGGAAACTAGTTGGTAGGTTTGAATATTTGATTTCCGTGCCTGGAAAATAATTGGAAAGGTCATCACCAAACTGATCACTTGCTACACAAGCTGCATCAGCCCAAAACCAACATTAGCGCTCAGTGCTGTAGTATGGTAGTTCCCTAAGTGTGTGCCACGGAACACTAGCCCCACGGGGTGCTCCACAAAGCAAGAGTGCCCTGGGAAAACAAGTTTAGGGAATACTGGGCACTGTGTCCTACTTCTAGAGCTCCCCAGTGTGTATCTGCATATAGAAGCTAAGGGAATCCCTGCAGTAAAGAAGCATTCTTAGCTTTGTTTAACCTGGAATTTCCCAAACATTTGACCAGGCAATGTTTTCTCAAAGGAAATTCATATTCCAGAAAATTTATTTCTCATGCAATCTATTTTGGGAAACACTACTCTATCAATGTCACGTTAGATTTTACAGTATTCTTCCTTAAGGATGATAAGGGTGCTATTGCCATGTTTAATTAGTTTACAAACATATTTCACTTGCCAGTGGTAACCACGGCAAGTAAAAATAAATTAATACACATACAGACAAAATAGTATTTCACAAGGGAAAAATGGCCTCACAATGGCTCCATACCGTAGTTAAGGATGTGATTGAAAAACTAATGTCTATACCCCAAAGCTAACTTACAGCTTTACTCACAAAATATTATTTTCTCTTGGAAGGAGTTCCTTGAATATTCAATTTGTTTGGTTTAAGTGAATAGTGGAATATTAAATGTTCAGGCAGGAAGAGCTTTAGCTATGACCATCCTGGTAAGGTGGAGCTCCTTTCACTTGTCCCAAGTCTTAAGGAGCCTGGCTGTGGGAGCATGGTGTTAGGTGAGAAGGAGGAGGGGAGGCTGCTCCTCTTGGTCCCCTGTCCCCTGGAAGCCACAGAAGCCTCCCAGACAAGGGCTCAGCCAGGCCACCTCATCCTCAGTGGGACTTCTCATCTACCGCTGGGGTCTCGGGCTCTCGTCACTTTATAGCTTACTTAATTTCTCAGCATGTTTCCTCCTCAGTGATTCGGGAATGAAAATGCTCAGTAAAACACCTAGCATGTGCCCGGCACATAGTGAAAACTCGGTTCGTGTGGGCTCCCTTCCTCGCTCACCCCTGGGATGTGGTCTGAAGCACAATACTTACAAGACCTCTCTCTCAGCTCAGCGATACTGTAGCCCTGAATCTAACAAACCTTTAATGACTGGAAGTTTCTGGCTGATGAAAGGGCATCAGTTGGGCAAAACAGCATTACCATGGTCCGTGGAACTGCACCCCAACTGCAGGAATCTTTGTCCGATCATAGCTTCGGTGTTCCAGCATATGTGGCATTGCTGGTAACCAGGAAATAATGTTCAAATTTCACAGTCAGCAGAAAGCAATATCACACACTCTTCCTTATTGGCTTTCCTTTACACTTTAAAGTGTAATGATTTTTTTTCTTCTATTCATTATAAAAAGGATTGGAAGCGGATAAATTTGTTCTCAAGAGTTGCTTTACCCACAGAAGCCAAAAAGACATCTTTCCCCATGATTCCCTCCTTTGATCTAACCTTCCTCTATTTCAGTTTGCAAGGATTCTGTTCGAATTGGGTCTATTCTCTGCTCCAAGCTTTGTGCAAAGTGCTTTGGATGGCACGTGCACGTGTCTTTTGTGGTCATCTGCCCCGGGGCATGGTCGGTTAAGGCTAGCTAGGTGAGATTTAATTTTTTTTTTTTAAGTTTATGATAGTCACAGAGAGAGAGAGAGAGGCAGAGAGAGAAGCAGGCTCCATGCACCGGGAGCCCGACGTGGGACTCCAGGATCGCGCCCTGGGCCAAAGGCAGGCGCCAAACCGCTGCGCCACCCAGGGATCCCGCTAGGTGAGATTTAAATTCAGGTTTGACTGTTCTCCCCTTGGCTCTGCTGCCGTATGATCACCCCAAAGAAAATTTAAAATACCAGGGTAAGTCTAAGGGGTGAGGATATGGATAGTTGCCCAGAGCCACCAGTTCATAAATGTCTTTACTTAAATTAAATTCCTTGGCCACAAAAAGCCGCTGCGGGCCTCCTTTGCAGCGTTCGTTCGTGGTCCCCAACCTGGCCCACTCTCCTGTCGCTTCCCGTCCGGGGCTGGTGTGAGACCAACGGTGTTTAGTGGGGTGTCTGCGTTCCTTCCGACGTACTTCGGGGCCCACCCCTGGGCGGGAGGGCGGTGGGTCTGAGTTCAGGCCTTTCATTTCCTGCGAGGTGAGCGGGTGCAGCAGGCCGCTCCGGCCTCGGTGGCTCTCGGCGGCTCTCGGGGCCGCGCCCCTGTCCCCGCGATCCGACGTCCCTGGGGCACCACGTGGAAAGCCCCCGCCCCCGCCCCGCATCCCCGCATCCCCGCATCCCCGCCTTACCGTCCTCGGGCCGCTCGCCCTCCAGCAGCGCCACCACCTCGGTGCCCTCCTCGCCCGAGCCCCGGACCTCATCCACGTCCACCACGGTGGCTGCGGGCGCGGGGGGCTCCCCCCGGCTCCCCGCGCGCTCGCGCCCCGCATCCCGGCGCCCACGGCCTCCGCCGCCCCTCTCGGCCCTCGCGCTCTGGCTCTCCCGGCGGGGGGACCCGCCGCCTCTCCCGCGGGCCTCTCGGGAGGAGCTGCGAGCCGCCCGCTCCATCCCCGGGGGCCGGAGCGCGGTCCCGGCGGAGCGGCGCGGGCGGGAGCCGCGGCGGTATTGACCGGGGCCGGGCGGGGCGGGGCGGGCCGGGCGGGCGGGGCTCTGCTCGCCCGGAGGCGGGGCCGCGGGCCGCGGAGGAGCTGCAGGCTCGGCCCGCGCCTCGTGGGCCCCCGCGCCTCGTGGGCCCCCGCCACGGGCTGGGGCGAAGCCGGCGCGCGCTCGTGCGCCTCGCGGCGTTGGAGCAGCGGTTTGCACAGCGGCGGCTGGGGCGGTAAAGCACGTTCCGGGCAGCCCGGGGGCCGGCGGGTTAGCGCCGCCTGCGGCCGGGGCCTGATCCTGGAGACGCGGGGTCGAGTCCCGCGGCGGGCTCGCTGCACGGAGCCCGCTTCTCCCTCTGCTGGGGTCTGTCTGTCTGTCTCTCTCTCTCTCCCTGTGTCTCTCTGTCTCTAATAAAAATTAATAATAATAAAAAAGCACGTCCAGTTGCCTGACCCACCCGGAGGCCCGCAGAGCCCCGAAGAGCTGGGGGTCTCTGCGCGCGACTTGTGGGCGTCCTAGGAATGAGATGACGTGGTCCTCCTGTTGCACTGGACAGAATGGGCCCACGGATTAGGGTGTCCTTCATTTAACATTAGAGACTTCTCCCCAAGCGCCCTTTTACCCCTCTGGAGGCTTCCCGAGGGCGCCTTTCCCCCTTCCCCTCCTTTATTTTATTTATTTTATTTTATTTTATTTTATTTTATTTTATTTTATTTTATTTTATTTTATTTTATTTTATTTTATTTAGATTTTATTTATTTGAGAGAGAGCAAGAGCGACAGAGGTCACAGAGGGAGAGGGAGAAGCAGACTCCCGGCCGAGCAGAGAACCTGATGGAGGGCTGGCTCCCAGAACCCTGGGACCATGACACCGGGCCACCCAGGTGCCCCCGCTCCCCCACCTCATTTGGTTTACATCCTGGCCTTACTCTTTCTGCCCAGGCTTTGCAAGCGTGTGGGTGTTGACAGACTACTCCTGGGAGGATTTACATTTCAAAGGTGGGGGATAGGAAAACTCTTTTAGGCCGCTTCTCTCTCTCTCTCTCTCTCACTTACATTTCTTTATTTTTATTAAGTGATTATTGTGGGGGCACCTGGGTGGCTCACTGGTTGAGTGTCTGCCTTTGATTCACAGGCTTGATCCCCGGAGTGCTGGGAGGGAGTCTTGCATCTGGCTCCCCACAGGGAGCCTGCTTTTCCCTCTGCCTGTGTCTCTGCCTCTCTCTCTCTCTTTCTCTCTCTCTGTGTCTCTCATGTATAAATAAAAAAAAAATCTTTAAAAAGTATTACTGTGTTTACTAATGCTTAAGCCTATTGATGTAATGCTTCTTTAAGAATCATAGAAGGGAACAGATCTGGTTTAACTTTTGTTTTTAGGAAAGGAATGCTTTTGCCCTTGGTGAGGCTCTGTTCCCTGGCCTCCTTGATAAAGGCAGGACTTCCACTTTGTCAAGGTTCATTGGCCACCTCCATCAAGCGACAAACTGGGGGAGCTGCCCCACTTGTTTCTGAGGAACTTGAAATATTGAATAGATTTCTCTTTTACTCTCTATCCAATCACTTGTTTCTCACTGAATGAATGACCCTTCAAACTCAAGATTTATGATTCTACTCCAAAAGGTCAGATCACGATATTAGAAATTAGGTTCCTTTATTTTTATTTTTCAGTATTTACTGAGTTCACACAAGTTTTCTTCTCAAACACCTTATTAAAGAAAGGGAACCCGAAGTAACTCAAACGGCTCTGGAAAACCATTCCACTACTTTCTTCCATATATTCCAAGTTAGGCCACTGGGAACAAAATAATTACAAGATTGGTAATAGAATATTTTAAATAGATTCGGTTTTTACTCTGTAAACCTCATTATTGCATGGGTTATGTAAGGGAGGCAAATGTTTCCTTTGAGTGCCTGCCTCAGTTAATAGCTCCTGCCTAGAGCAGGATATTGAGAAAATTCAGAAGCTGCATTTGGCCCATAGAGGGAAAAGTATCACAGTTACTTAATATTCACTCAAATTAACAGTTGCAATTAAATACAGTTTATCATCCTGTAAAGATTTCCCTGTTCAGAAAAGTATGGAATCGATTGTAGTGTTTTTACTTTTTCTCCACCTTTGAATCTGTTAAACATGTACCCCAGTTTTTGCTCAAAGAATTGGCAGGCTATCTGGCAAATGCTAATCTCAGAACTGCACTCTATCTGCTTAATACAACAGAAGGATTTCTTGTAGGAGAAAAAATGATGCTCTACTTGGCATTAGAGCATACGCTGGGTGCTTGTTAACTCAATCTCCTTTGCCTTGGGATCATGGGTAAATTACATAACCTGTACTTCATTTTCTATATCACACATAACAGTAATACAAGCCCCTGGTTATAATACAAGGCTGGTGGCATTATGGATGGCGATGACAATATCTGAGAAAGAGCATCACATTCCAAGGGAAAAAGGTCAACCCAGCATCTCTGAAAGGTGGAGGGGTTGGGGAGTGCTGAAGTAGCAGAATGAGTCGCTCTGGCTGTACTTAAAATGATGTTGCTGTTTTCTTTTTAGATTCCTTTTTAATTGAAAGCATTGGTCATCCCTTTGTTGAAACTATCTGTGCACATTTTTGTGCTCTTATTGCTTTACTCCTTGTTCGGATTTGTTATGAGACTGGCATCTGTGAGGGGGTTACTAGGTAGGGAGGACCAATTACAGTTGCTGCCTTTGGAGTTTGTTTCCAAGACAAAAGGTCATGGATGGTGTCAAGGCCTTCTAGATTATAATTATTCCTTCTTTAAAAAAATATTTTATTTATTTATTCATGAGAGACACAGAGGAAGAGAGGCAGAGACATAGGCAAAGTGAGAAGCAGGCTCCCCACAGGGAGCCTGATGCGGGACTCGATCCCAGGACGCCGGGATCACGACCTGAGCCAAAGGCAGATGCTCAACCATTGAGCCACCCAGGTGTCCCTAAATTATAATTATTCCTATTTAGTGTTTTGGAATTTTATATCCATATGGGTAAAAGGAAGGAATATTGACTTACACGAATTATTTAATGAGAAATCTGGAATTCATTGTCACTAGATAAAATTCCAAATCTTATTATTTTAGTGCTGGAAGAAACTACAGAGACTTAAATTTTACTTTCTCCATTTGTAGATGGCAGAGAGGCCAGGCAGGAGGGCACAACTCATGGGAACCGGACCAGGGCTTTGGCCGTGGGGATGGCCATGGTGCAGGAGCTATTTCTCAGGTAGAGAATCAACAGAATTTGGTGACCCTGTGGGTTAATGAGCGAGGGTGGTGAGAAGATAGAAGACTTGAGAATATGGGGATATTTTGACCTTTACAGGCTGAACAGTAGGTTATAACTGTAGGCATCTCTGCCAGACCCACTTCTACCTACACTGATCTTGCACATCTATGTTCCCACTTTCTTTGCCTGGAGGTGCAGTTGTCAGCTTGTTAGGCCCAGTGGTGAGATGAGACTGACTTTTCTCTCATGAATTCACTTCACAGATACTTAGTGAGCTCCTACTATGTGGTTAGCACTGCTCACCTCTGAGGATGTAAAGGTAAGATATGGTGCCTGCCCTTGGGGAATTTATAGTCTAACGGAGAAAACAGATGGGTAAACAAGTGTGATAAAGTGTATGGTATGACAGCCAGAGGTACATCAGGGTTTTTCCACCTTAGCACTATTGACGTTTTATATAGGACGGTTCTCTGTCTTTGGGGGCCACCGTATGAATTGTAGGATCTTTTGCAGCACCCTGGTTTCTACCCTATGCCAATAGTTCCCCACCCTCAGTTTCAATGATGAAAAATGTCTCCAGACATGGTCAAGTATTCCATACGGACAAAATTGCTTCTAGCGCAGTACCACTGATCTCTATGTGTACCATGAGGATACAGAAGAGGTGGTAATTCTACTTGGGTGGAGTCAGAGGAGACCTAGTTTGAGCCATATAAGGAGATGGGCAGGTGATCCTCAGGTGGGTGTCAGGACCTGAGCCTTCCCACCAGAGGGGGCAGTAGAGAAGGCAGTATTTCATTCTTGTCAGATCCTTGACAAATTGGCAAAAGAGATCAGAGAAGTAGGTGGCCCAAGAAATGAAAAGTCTTTTACACCTTATAAGAGAATTTGGATTTTATAGGCAAAAGAAGCTATCAGAGCTTTGTAAGCAAGGAATAATATGGTAAGATTTGCAATTTAGAAAAGGGATTTTGAGGGCACCTGGGTAGCTCAGCAGTTGAGCATCTGCCTTTGGCTCAGGTCATGATCCCGGGGTCCTGTGCATGATCCTGGAGTCCCGGGATTGAGTCCCACATCAGGCTCCCTGCATGGAGCCTGCTTCTCCCTCTGCCTATGTCTCTGCCTCTCTTTCTCTGTCTCTCATGAATAAATAAATAAATCTTTTTTATTTTATTTTATTTTATTTTATTTATTTATTTATTTATTTATTTATTTATTTATTTATTTATGATAGTCACAGAGAGAGACAGAGAGGCAGAGACACAGGCAGAGGGAGAAGCAGGCTCCATGCACCGGGAGCCCGACGTGGGACTCGATCCCGGGTCTCCAGGATCGCGCCCTGGGCCAAAGGCAGGCGCCAAACCGCTGCGCCACCCAGGGATCCCAATAAATAAATCTTTTAAAAAATAGAAAAGTGACTTTGTCGACAAGATTGAAGGTGAATTGAAATGGGCAGAGGATGGAGGTAGAGAGACTGGTGAGGAGACTCTTCCAATAACCCAGGGGAGAGGGGAGATATGGGTTATGTTTTGATGACAATGTGGTGACTCCTAATACTCTCTGGTCAAAGTAACTGGGTGAGTGGGGCTGATGTCTAACTGAGGGGATCAAGGGAAGGAAAAACTTTTGTTTAAAGGTAGGTAGGGACAGTAAGTTCGGTGTCAGATATATTGAGCTAGCAGTGTCCATAGCATATCTGACTGAAAATGCACAGAGACACTCGAATA